TTCCAGCGCTAGACGACGTGGAATTATATTTGTCATGTCTAGACGATGGAACTATCGTGCCATGGACGAAATAAACATATTAAGACTTACAGTGTGGGTTTTGGAGACACGTTCATGCACAGACGAATCTAAATTTGTCGACGCGTTCCAGACTGGTGCCATTCCACACTGATGCCTGGCGGCTCTCGACATGCCTCCAGAACTGACGGCGGGCGCATACCGTGCCGCGCCATGAAAGCCCGGTCAAAAGCTATAAAACCCAGCGGCAAGCCGGCTCAGGACGGCACGCTCATTTTTCAGCGGCGGTCCGGGCACGAGATGCAGCAGCACGCGCCGACAGCTGCTGCCGCCGCCAACCGTCGGCGAGCGGCCGAGCCGGCAGCGCGTCCCAGGTACGTGTGGCAGGTGGGGCACGGACCCGAGCACACGACACGTCCGGCGCAGCGGCCGCTACTGTGTGCACGTGCAGAGGATGGCGCCGCCACCGACGACGACGTGCCCGGCTGACGTTGAAGACTGGCTTCGCTGGTCACCGATGAGCACGTGCATGGCACGCAGCGGCTCGTGACAATCCAGTGCCTGCACTGTGGTCGTGGTGACCTCTGATGTGCACGGGCGGGTGCACAGGTCGGCAGCGGGCTCCGCCGTGCGCTGTGCAGCCGATGGCGATCGCGGGCAGGCGGGAGGGCGCTGCTCCGTGACGGAGCCCTAAGCAGCCATTGTGTGGCGGCGCTCAGCGGTCAGTAAATAGCCGGAGAACGGCTGCTGGCTGTCCATGCCGCACGTTCGGAAGGATCGATGCCCGCTTGTCTTTCTGTGCGATCTGACCGCTGTACGTGCGCAGAATAATGTTCGGGATGGTTATTGCAGGCGTGCGATGCGATACCTTCAGATCTTTAAAGGCTTCGGATTAGTAGAAGCCATTTTTGTTCGCATAATGAAAAAGCCAGTACAAAGAGCATATCGCCTTTGTTCAAGCCACAGCATCCCGTTAGAGCCAGCATCTCAGCATTACCACGAGTGAACCAATGCACAATGCAGCTTCCTTTTTGCTGGTAAAACAAACGCACACACCAGCACAGAGAAGCGTTGTACTCAAGCGCAGCGCATGGTCCCCCCAGGAGTCCACAGCAGGTGATCTGCCCGCCCGGGATGAGCGCATTCCTCCGTCCCACCCGAGCGCCGCCCACACAAAAAGGGCGCACCGCCGCGCGCGCCACAACATTTCGATAAATAAGCTGGCGGTGCGTCACATTTGTCGCACGGGCGGCTGCGGCACCGGCGCGCTGGGTGGCGCCTGACCGCGTGCCGGATCAGCTGTAATGTATGTGCGCCCCGCCCGGCTCGGCGGCCGCTTTTTCTGCCGACGCGCTGTGCGGCCCTCTGTCGCACGGGCTAGGTTGCGGCGGGGGGCGGGTCCGGTGGAGGGCAGGGCAGCCGGCGACCTCACCACGTGGAAGAGCCGGCCTCCTCAGCATGAAACAGGCGGCGTCACAAACAGGGCTGGCGCCGCACGGAGGGACAGCCAGTAATGTCAGGCAGGTCAGATGGCTTCATGTCAGGGATGGAGCATTTAAAGCCTGTGCGCGGGAGCCAGATCAACATACCAAATCGGAGATGAAAGCGCGTCCTCAGATACCGGGTTCTCCCCTTCTGAGCTCGGCTGCGTGTGATGTGGTTCACGGTTCAGCGCACCACGCGCCGCTCCGTCTCACCACCACGCGGTGTCGCCATTGATCCGTCCCCCGGCGCCGCGGGCGGTCCCCCACGGCCCCCGCCACACGGGCGACCAACAGGGGACGACCCGCGCGCCAAACACGACCGGCCGCCGCGGCGGTGGCGGCCGCCGCGCGGGCGAAACAACAGCGTCGTCCCGGCATCTAACGACCGACCGGCGAGGCCCTTCCGGGTCCCACGCCGCGCCGAGCGGCGAGGAGGCGTCACTCGGCCGCCGTCTGGAGGGCGCGAAAGGGCCAGGTGAGCCGCTCGGCCAATCGTTGGCGCGTGATGCGAGACCAACGGTGGCGAGCGCGGCACAGGCGCCGGCTAAGTGCTGTCGTTCCGGGGCGCGAATGGGACGCTTTGAGCGCAGCGCCGACCACCCACACGCGCCGATCCGCTGCTGTCGGCGGTGGCAATGGCGGCAGTGCCGATGGCGTCCTCGGCTGGTCAAAGGGCCGAGACGCCGTACAGGCTCCAGTCCGCCGCACACGGCAGAGAAAGTTAAATATTTGAAAATTACGATAACCCTCGGGCTGGCCCTGAGTTTCCAGTGCCGAGAGGCTCGAGTGCTCCTCTGGAGAGCAGCGCCAACGGCACGGAGAAAAGACTCGAGAGAGAAAGAACGCGGGTGAGGGCCACTCACAGCGGCGAGTCACTCCAGTGGAGCAATCAGTCGGGACGTTGGGGATTAACTCCGCAAGAATTTCTCGGTGTCCGGCGTGGGCATCAGCGCGCAGCCTGTTGAGACCGGAGTGACGGCGGCGCTGCTTCAGACTGGCGCCGCCTCGTTAAACAAACACGACCAGCCGCCGACGGCGGAGAAAGATGGCCAGATAGCCGTCAGCTTTCCGCTCCCTCTTCGCGACAAATTAGAAAAGGCACGCTAAGCCGTTGGCATCGGCCCCCTGTCGTGAGCGCGGTGGGATGCCAGAGTGGGCATGCCTGCCCTCCGCCTGTCTCTGACAGGGCACGGTATTTCTGGACGGAGTGGCTTGCCCAGTTGGAGTTGAGGCACAGTGCGAGGTCCAGCTCGAATAGGGCAGACGGCAGGGGGCCATGCCGACGATTTGCCGGCACAATGGGCGTAAATAAGAGGGGCCTGGTGCTGACATAACACGTTTAGCCCTAGTGAGCGCGGCACTGAGGTAAGCTCGCGATCACACGAAGACACGATATGACTGGCTCTGCTTGCGGTCATGGGAAGTCTCGCCGGTGGAATTTGTGTCAAACTTGTTTATACACGCCTGACCAATATCACTCAAGTAAACTGAATCAATTTCTTGTTATTAAAAGCCAGTGAAGCCAAGGAGACGACGTGCATTTCCTTTTCATTCCATAAATAGGCATATTGTGACATTTCACCTGGAGAAAACAGCACTTCTTGATAACGTCACCCAAATACCTCCAAACCTCCCAGCACTGAGCACCCCTCCCAGAACCACCTAACTGCGCGCCTGCCAACACGTCGTTTGCCCAGGCCCATGACCATAACAACATACCCATTTATCACACCGGGAAGAAAGGATCTCCACATGGCGCTGAGCTCAGCCCACAGTTACGTAGCGCGCATGATCAAAACCCCGCAAAACAACAGCGCAACTCGCTTCAAAGAAAAAAAAACAGAATAGCGCAATGGCGAACGGTCAACGAGGGGAGTTGGCGGCACTGCGAACCGATGCGCCCCTGCCTACTCACTTCGTCATACACGTGCAGCGCCGCCCGGTGCGCAGCTGTCGGCGCCGCTCGTGCTGGCGGCCTCCTCGGGGAAGCCGACCGCGCGCGTGCGATGCCCTGTCTGGCGACTGAGCGCCGAGCAGCGGCCGGGCGCCGGGCGGCTCGGGACGCCAGGGCGGCTCCTCCTCTCCCGCCGCCCGACACGCACAGACTGCAGCGGCGCGCACGCGGCGCGGCCGCCGGCCAGGCGCGAGGAGACGCCGCCGCCACCTGGGGCCGGTGCCGGCCGCACCGCCACTTTCCCATTTTCCGGCCCGGCCCGGCACGTTATCGCGCACCGAGGGACAGCCCGAATGGGGAACGGCCGAATCAGGGCGGCACTCGCGCCAAAGTGGCACCGAGGTCAAGTGTTCGGCGCGCGGAGAGGCGGCGGCGGCGGTTTTATGGACGCTGCTCGCCGTTTTTCTGTCGCCAGGTCCAATGAGGTGTCCGATATGTCTTACGCCCGTCAGTGATATGTCGCCATAAAAACTTCATACATTAGATTACAGGCAGCTAAAGTGCGCGTTACCGAGAGAAACACCGCAGAACGTCGTTCGGCTGGCTAACGCCTGACGTCACCGGCTCGCTGGCGCGCTAAGAGATGCGGCCGACTGAAAACGAAAGCCGAAACAGCAAGTAACATATTTACTAAGATTAAAATAACAACAAATCAATGCCAACACACACTAGAAATATTAGCGATGCAAGGAAACTCATCACATTTTCTGATACCTCCGCGCTTTCTTGGTCCGCCCCCGCTCGGTCAAATCCCGGCCGGAGGCCACAGACGAGCCCGAGAAGTGGCCCCTCCCGCGAGCAGGCGTCCGACAACAATTCGCCCGGCACTTGACGGGGTGCCAAATTGCCGTGCTCAGCTGATGCCCGGAATGATAACAGCTGGCGTGCGTGCGCGCGCGCGCCAGCACGGGCACCTGCCCTCCGCCTTGGCCGCTCCGTCTTGACTTCCGTCAGCGGCCGGCCAACGCCGTCAGCGCCGGGCGGCGGTGAGGGCCGGCGACGCCGCCGCCTCCGCACCGCCCGGCGTCTGGCGTCTGGGCGCTGTGAGGAGAAGGCGCTGTTGTGGCGCGGGGGAGCGACGGGCGTCTCGCACCGCCGCCGCCCCTCCCCCATGAACACACCTGGTCGTTAGGCGGGCGCCGCTCGGTGCCACGTTCAGCGGCCGTGCCGGGCCAACCCAAATCCCGGAGATAAGCTAACGAGCAGGCGCGCTGGCCGATGAAAGAGAGTGTTGGTGCGCGTCCCGGCAGAGGCCTTGAGCCGCACACTGGACGGGTTCGGGGACCGGCCTAGCCGAGTGAAAAATCGGCTGCCGGCCGTGAGCCGGTCCGTACCCCTCCCCGCCGCCACCAACCCCTCCCCTTTCCCCGCAATCAGCCATGCCGGTCGGCAGCGTATTGCTGGATGTACGGGCAAGGCGTTTGATCGATTTGCAGCAGGGGCGGGAAATTGGAAGGGGACAAGCCGGAAATGCGATCAGACAGAGCGTTCCTCCTCCTCTCCGGGAGGTGGCCCATGCCGTGGGCCAAACATCAGCCACTCACCGGAGACCAGCGGTTCCAATTGTCCTAGGGTGTGGTCCTCGTGTGCAGACATCATTCGAGTCCGCTGCGGCGGGCTCGCGGCTCATCCCATACAGGCGCCGCGCGGCCGACTCCGCCCGGGCCGCCACGTCCGCCGTACCACACACACCAGCCACCGCCACTATCACGCGCTCCTCGAGCGGCCAACACTGCTGAGGTTCCCCGGCGACACCAGTCCTCCGGCGTTCGGCAGGCGTCCTCACCGCGCGGGCCTCGGCTGGGGGCTGGAGGAACGGCTCAGCACGCGCGCCCGCGCTATACTCCCCCCCGCAGCTCTGGGTCGGCACTGGCGGCGCCGCTCTGGCGTCGGCGCCCGCCCAGCTGCTCGCGAGGCACGCAGCTGACCGCAGCGCCGCCTGTCGGCTGGTCGCCGAACTAGCCAGGCGTCCGGCCGCTGACTCCCGGCAGCGCCGAAAGAATGGCCGAATCAAGGTGACTGCCGAGGAAAACGGGCGTGTTGAACGCGAGCGGCAGTGACGGTCAACGCACGGTCGCTGTGTGCAGGGAAGCAGAGCCGGCCTGCCAGCTAGCGGCGGCGCCGTCCGCCGTGCCCGTTTACGGCAGGACCGGCCGAGCGGACCGTGGCGGCGGCGGCCGTCGCCGCTCCCTGGGGGTCCGCCAGCGCCATCAGGCGGTCTCCCCGCGGCTGGCGAACCGTCGGCAGATCTGATCGATTCGCCGGCACGCCCCCGCGGACCGAGCGAGGGAGCGCGAGCGCCGGCGGCACCCCCGCCAGCCGGCCGTGTGCATGTTGACCGCCGGGCCGGACGGCCCGCCGGCTCGGGCACGCCTGGCCTGCAGCGGGACGAGCGGACCGGCTGGCTGGCCGGCGGCGGCGGGTCACGGGCCGGGGCACCGGCCGGCGGTAGCGGCGCAGGCGGGCACCAGCCAGTGCGGCCGTCCGCACCGCGCCAGGGTGAGCCTCGAGACGGCAGAGCCCGCGGTTCCAGTCGCCCGGTGTGGTACGAAGCTTGCGAAATGCGCCAATATTTCAGTTGTACCGATTGTGCCGGCTAAATCGTTGTGACGTAGGCAATAACAGCTTCGGCTAGCGCTACGCGTCGTCACACTGGCTGACCGCTCGTGCCCTGGTCAGACTGTGCAAGCCCCTTGCATAATGCTGTACGCGCTGGAATGAAACAGTAACGTATTGAGTCGCACATCCGTGGTTTCTCGCAGACGTCGTGATAATGTCACGGCTGCGAGCGTAACACCAGTAGACACAGCCATAATAAATGTGTGCCAGCCAGGCAAAGAAGAGAACGAAGTGCACAGTGCGAGGGATTGTCTTACATTACACTAGGCCTCTACCACTGAGAACTTGGCACTATCAAGAAAGGTAATCACTATACATCACAGTACATACGCGAAGACCGTGTCGTTTTAACAGGCAGTGCCACCTTACAGGCATATCGCTATTTGTAAAATGCATTAAACTGAACCTGAAAACGCCGTTAAGCGCCAATCCAGACGCCGAATGAGTTTTATCCAGACGAAACCGGTTTGACACGTCAGCTGGTGACGCATGTGACTTAGTATGGCTCGGATCGTCATAGAACGGGAGATTAGACGACGGCCTGTTACTGTTCGGTCCAAAATTGACGTGAATAAGTTACCGTTCGTTTGATCTTATGCTGAGCTCTTGGACTTTTTGATGTGTCGCGTCTTCAGGACATAACGATTGTAACACGGGCAGGCTTAATAAGGTAGCCTACTGAAAGTGTATTTCGAGTGTAATATGTAACGAACAGTGGCAGCTGGTTTGGTTTGTGCCTGTTTTCGTAATACAAGCGGGACACATAGCTGGTCGGCTTCTCATTTCAAACCACGCTCGCAGGGCACCAGCTGGCTTCCGGTCAGCTCTATGAAACTGGCATCCAGGTCAGGGTGAGATCACTTTCGACCAGCCTCCACCCCACCCTTGATATCCGGTGACGTCGAGAGACAGACGTCTGGAACTGACAGGGTCTGCCAGTCCGTGTTGAACTTGCACTGCAGGTAATACAGCTGTCCGGATCTCCGCGGCAAATTATTTGGAGTTCAAAGGGAGCCCATGGGGTCATCCGGCTCTATCGGTGAGGTGATATGGCTAAGTCATCCGGCTCCATGGGTGAGGTGATATGCCGAGATCATCCGGCTCTATGGGTGAGGTGATATGGCGAGGTCATCCGGCCCTATGGGTGAGGTGATATGGCGAGGTCATCCGGCTCCCATATCTCGGAGTCCGTCTGGGAACCATAACAACCCGTCTCGAGCTCAGCCAAAGTGTATCAGATGCGTCTGGAACCCTTCTTAACCTTCTCTAGGACCCGTCTGAGGCACAATGGAGGCCAGACTGAGACCAATCATCACGCCTATTCTTCTGGCTGTTGTGCAGTCCCATCGGAGCTCAGTGGAAGCTGTCTTTTGAGGTTTGAGGTCCGCCTGAAGCTGTCTCAGCCCTGTCTGGGATGCGTCTGAAGCCCACCGGAAAACCGTCTGCCGACCGTCTGCCGACCCTCTGTGGTTCGTCTAAAGGCCGTGTGAATTACATCTCAAATTCGTCGAAAGTCCGTTTGAAACTTGTCTAAGTCCCCTCTGAAGTTCGTTTTGAGCTCGTATGTAAGCCATTCGCCTCCCATCTACAGTCTGTCTGTAGTCCTTCTGCAATCTATCCTCAGTCCGTCTGCAGCCCGTCCGCAGCCCTTCTGCAATTCATCCTCAGTTCGTCTGCAGTCCGCCTGCAATCCGTCTGGAGCCCTCTGCAGTCCATCCTCAGTCCGCCTGCAGTTCGCCTGCAATCCGTCTGGAGCCCTCTGCATTCCATCCTCAGTCCGTCTGCAGTCCGCCTGCAATCCGTCTGGAGCCCTCTGCAGTCCATCCTCAGTCCGTCTGCAGTCCGTCTGCAATCCGTCTGGAGCCCTTCTGCGGCCCATCCTCAGTTCATCCTCAGTCCGTCTGCATTCCGTCTGGAGCCCTTCTGCGGCCCATCCTCAGTTCATCCTCAGTCCGTCTGCAATCCGTCTGGAGCCCTTCTGCGGCCCATCCTCAGTTCATCCTCAGTCCGTCTGCAGTCTGTCTGAAGCTCTTCTGCGGTACATCTTCAGTCCGTCTGCAGTTCGTCTGGAATCCGTCTGCAGCCCGTCTGCGTGACCACCGGCACCACGCTCACGCGAAGCCTCTGGGCGGTCCGCGTCGTTGGATCGGAGGAGGGGGCGTCCCAGGACAGCCCCCCTCCCGCAGAAGTGCCCCCGACACACCACGTAATTGGCAGTCGGCAACTCCCCCGGCGAATGAATAGATAGCTCGCTTCTTATGCCGTCTAGTCCAAATTAATGAGGAAACGTTTTTACCGCCAGGGCCATCTTCGGTCGGGGTGTTTTTGCTATACAGCTTCATAACTCACGGAAGTGGAGGCAGCTTGAATGCTTCCTTTTTCCAATGAGCATAACCGTAATTCTGGGATTGGATCATCAAGTCTTGTCATTAGGTGCGACTTGAATGCTGGCGGAGTGGAGCGAGGTGTGCAACCCACATCGCCTTTGATGGTAGCGGTCACTTCTCACAGGCAATGGCCGACATAATCGGTCTGGGAGAGAGCTGAACACAACACATGGTGACGTGCTATTTTACTCGAGCAAACCAACAGCAGAATATCTCACAGTCTCGTCGATTATACTTACCAATGTATGTATGTGTAATGTACCAGTGTATCATATGTAATTACCAATGTACTAACTAATGATACATCATGTGAATGATCCTTGGTGGGCAACCGCATCGCGCTTATATGAAAACCATTTCATTTCGTTTGCTCAGCACCATGCTTATTTCACTTCACGGATGCCATTTTGGTGTATTGTCTCGTCTTTTTTCTTGCACCTATACACCTTTTCTTGCACCTGCCTCTTTTATTGTATCCAGCACCTACCTCTGTTCCTACCCCTCTCATTCTCCTCATTCACTCTTCGCACGGCTTTCCTGGAGTTTGCCATGTCCACTATGGTTTCGTCGGTTCAGTTTTTTACTCCAATCTTCTCATAGAACTGCGGGACCATGGCAGCAGACGGTGAATTCAAATGCTTTGTTTCTCTGAAAAGGTCTTTCGTTCTGCCTGTCGTTCTGCCGCCATTGTTTATCAAATCGTCGCAACGTCATACCTGTATGTATCCTCGCATGACCATGCGCACATTCAGTGGTATGAAGCAATGCTGCCAGTGGTATGTGCACGCTTTCATCGGGTGATCTTTGAGGTCCTGCGGACGTGAAAACGCATCTCCGTCGTCGTAACGAACTAGTGTACGCACCAGCGCTTCATACGGCACCGGATAATGCTCCACTTCAACACATGCCCAGCTCATCTCGTGGGCTAACAAACAACACGGAGCGAGTGCTGAAGTGGCCATCATGACAACTTCAGTGGACTCCAGGACAACACCTCATTTATCAGCAGGCCCAGCAGCCT